GAGGCTGAGATCTTCGCCACAGCCATGGGTGCACAGGAGTTACGCTGGCTTACCTACCTGCTGACCGACCTGGGAGAGCGACCTCGTTCTCCTCCAGTGCTGTACGTCAACAACAAGGCTGCCATTGCCTTGTGTCAGGAGCACAGACTGGAGCACAGAACGAAGCACATCGCTCTGCGTTACTTCGTGGCTCGAGAGTTGCAACAGCGCTGTTAGCTTCGTCTTGCTCACGTGGCCACTCGGGCCAACACTGCTGATATATTCACCAAGGCACTTCCGTCTGGTGATCATTAGCGTTTCTGCACTTTGTTAGGCCTTGTGCCCACTTTTCCTCACCTGCTGTAGACTTTGCTTGTACTGTGATCTATATATCTATACCTGCATGCTTGTTCTGCTAGGTAGAGATCACTGTACTACGGTTGTTGCATATATACCTCTACATGTGAACTGGCCTTGTGGCCCTTTGTTTGTGCTCAGTGTGTGTGGTGACGTTGTGATCCACCCTGAGCTTTTTTTGCTTCTCTTGACTGGTCTTGTGACCCCTTGCTCTCCCCCACTTTGCCTATGGGGGTGTGTCAAAGTATATATATGCTATATATGTTTAAGCTGTAGTGCCAATATGAGGTACATCCCGTTTTAGGGTTTCATACTTGTACCCAACCCTTTCATAGTTGATTCATTCCTGCTAGATTCTAACAAGACGCACGTCGCCTCGTGCGTCTTGTCGGTCGGACCAGTTGCTCGGATTGGTCTGGCGAGGGCGAGATCGGGACTTGTATGGATCCGCCAAATGCCTGAAGTTTCTGCAGATCTTGCAGTAGTGGCGCCGCGGTCTTCGCTTTTCGTTGTTGTCGGCGTAGAAGGCGAGCCATTCTCGTTCTCGTCGTGACGCTGGTCGCTGCTGGTCCATATCCCGTTGTTTGACGAGAAGGTCGGCGCAAAGGGCGGCCTCCGAGATGACCCCCTGCTGTCGGAGAAGCGCCTTGCAGGGCCGCCACTCTGGGCCGAGCCCTTGAAGCACGATATTTACGAAAATTTCTTTCGAAATCGAACTTCCTAACTTCGCGATTTGATCGCGAAGGCTCCGACAGCAATTGATGTAGCTGTTGGCCTTCTCCCCTAGGGCCATTTTGGTTTCCAGTAGCTGCTGGAGCAGCTGGCTCGAAGAGACTGAGTCCTTCGGCTGATACACGCCGTTGAGATGGCGCCAAGCGTCGAGGGCTGGAGCGGCTGATGTCTTGTATGAGCGGATGCTCAATTGCTCCGCCGGCGACATGTTCCGCAGGAGCACCCCGTACGCCATCAGGGATTCGTCGAAATATCTTGCCTTGGCGTCGTCGATGTCCTCGGCAGGCTCCGTGTAACTGCCTTCGAAATAATGAAAGATTTGGGCGTTCTGCAGCAGGAGTTCCAGTTCGAAGCTCCAGGTATAGAAATCTCTGCCGTCAAAGCAGGTACTTGCCTTTATTTTTTATATGCTGAGAAACCTTGATTGTGCAGAGAGAATTGCCTCTTCACTGGGACGGGGAGTCTTGGGGGTTGAACCATTTGTGTCGAGGGAGAATGTGTGTGGGGCGGCGTTTTGGCCGGTTGGGGCTGGTTGAGAAGGTTGCGAGGATGTTCCCGCGTCGCCGTTCCGCAATGTTTGGAGCCCTTGCTCCAAGCTGGTGAGTCGCTGAAGAAGTTGTGCGAGGAGTTCGGTGCAGATCGTCGTCGTTCCCTCGCTTGTCGCAACCGGGTTATGTTGCGCTTCAGCCGTCAGATTGGTCTGACCACCCGATCCTCCGGCCATTCTTACACGCGAGCGTGTGCCGGACGCCACTTTCCGACTATCGTAATTTTCGGGAGTGGCAGTGCGAGATATTCCTGAGTCGCTCTCATACCATGTTGCGATCAGAAGTTGATCGTAACCAGGATCGCCTCAGGAAGGTTCGCACACTTCTAGTCTAGTGGTGGTGGGCCCTTGACCTCAATAGCAGAGTGAATGTAAAATGCTTGAGATAATAAAAACATGCAAGTACAACGATATAAATAAGAGTACAGGGGAATACGAATCGGCCTAGCTAGCCATGTACTCCAAGGGGTACATTCCCTTATTCAGATTCATTCCCAACCGTGCGGCGCGTACAGTTACGAAACTGTTCCCGCCAGAATCCTTCTGCCTGCAGGTACCCGATGCCATCTGCTCCGACGGTCCAGATGCATCTCAATCGTCTGACGTTTCGAGTCAATTCCGACTCTTCACATTCGTTCTCGATACTGCATGCTCCTTTAGCTGTGGTCGGGAGTGCACTGTAATCTTCATTCATTGCTATTCGTAACATAAAATAAACGCGATAAGCCTCTACACAAATGCTACAAAGTCACTTGCCAATTTCAACCATTGTGGGTAATTATTCATGCGCTACAACGTATACAAACGAACCTAGCTAGCGTAGTGCATCTACGTAATTTATTACTACATATGGTGAGGGGGCACACAAGTAGTTTCTGAACATTCTCAAAATCCACAGGGCATGATCCGGGGGCCGGGAGTGGAGAGCAGCTGGGCTGGAGTGCTCGGATGAGAGCAGGAAAACGAGGCAGAATCTGCTGACTGCGCATTGTTGTGACAGGGTGGTCCAATGTGCCTCTTTGATTCCCCTCCTGCGCACGAATGAGAGGCATGGGTTGAGAGGCACGAGGTGAGAGGCACGAGGTGAGAGGCATGAGGTGAGAGGCATGAGGTGAGAGGCATGAGGTGAGAGGCATGAGGTGAGAGGCATGAGGTGAGAGTGGGAATGAGAATGAGGGCGCTCGGCATGCAGTGCACCAGCTGACTGCCCTGACCAGGCTGAGAACTCTCTTCTCGGCAAAAGAGTGTTGCATTAGCAATGATGAAAGCAGAAAGCGCGTAGCGTGGCAGGGAGGAATGATGGAACGGGGGGTGAGGCGAGGGAAGAGTTGATTGTGACTGTCTAAGGAAGTCTGAAGAGAAGTGTGGAGGCACGGGGTGTGAAAAGCTGTTGATGTGCTAGATGAAGCCGGTGCCTTGCAACGATTAGTGCCTGTGGGGAGAGCTAACTGTGAGTATCAAGGAGATATGTCTCAATTGATCGTGCACGCATGTTGCACGGAGTTGGAGTGTGATCATGAACACCTCTTGACTTGCAGTCGGACAGAAGCAGGTGCAGGGCTGGCTGGCTGGCCGGGCAAGCAAGAGACCACCAGGCCAGGTGCATGAGGGAAGGCTGCATGAGCCGTTCCTGCCTGGCTTTGGGTGTGGGCTGTACAAATCCTCCTCACACAGGAGGGAGTACGAACGGGAGAATATATCGAGAGGGTGAATTGTGTATGATGGGAGGCAGGGGTGGCGCAGGAAGAAGCGAATATATTAGTACAGGAGGGCAAGAGGGGTGCGTACGCACCATCATCATGCCATCAACACAGGTTAAGGCGATCAAGCTTCTAAAGGGGTGCCACACACTCGAGACCGACCGAATTTCACAGACACTCCACCACAGCTGCTGCTGCTGATTTTGCTGCTGCTGCTAACTGTGGCTCGAAAATTGCTACCCGTGGTTGTGTCAAACTGCCTACTGGGCTCCTGCTATTCGTGTGGGAAGCGGAGGGGAATAGGGGGGAGCTGGGGAGAGGGCGAAAGAGGTAGGGGCATAGTGCTGAGCGAGGAGGGGGTGTGAAATAGGTGGTGATGGCAGTGCACATGGGAAAGCAGTGCTCAGATTCATCCATCCGTCAGAAATGTATCGTTAGAAGCACCATATTGGTATGGATTGGCAAGTGCACTATACGATGGAGGTCTGAGCAGCAGCAATGGATAGAAGAAGAGAAATAAGATGAGAGAAGAAAAAAAAACTCGTTTTTTTCACCCATTCGAGTTGCCCTCTCACCTACCAGTCGCCCTCTCACCCCCTTCTTGGCACCACCAGCGGCAATGAATCGGCAATTTCAGGGCTATCAACCACACCTACCATGCTTGGCATATGATGCTTCAAGTGTCCTCTCATACCGCCCTAAGCCATACCTGCCATACTACTTCGTACCATCAGTGCTGTTTCCCCAAGCCGTCTGTCTTTATACTCCCTTCTACCCTCCACTCAGTCCCACTCACCACCACCAGACGCTGACTCCCTTCCACAAGCCCCTCACCCCCTTCCTGCCACGGCTCATTCGCTGACTCTCTCACCCATGCCCACCCCTTGCTGACTCTCTCACCCATGCCCACCCCTTGCTGACTCTCTCACCCATGCCCACCCCTTGCTGACTCTCTCACCCATGCCCACCCCTTGCTGACTCTCTCACCCATGCCTACCCCTTGCTGACTCTCTCACCCATGCCCACCCCTTGCTGACTCTCTCACCCATGCCCACCCCTTGCTGACTCTCTCACCCATGCCCACCCCTTGCTGACTCTCTCACCCATGCCCACCCCTTGCTGACTCTCTCACCCATGCCCACCCTTTGCTGACTCTCTCACCCATGCCCACCCCTTGCTGACTCTCTCACCCATGCCCACCCCTTGCTGACTCTCTCACCCATGCCCACCCCTTGCTGACTCTCTCACCCATGCCCACCCCTTGCTGACTCTCTCACCTATGCCCACCCCTTGCTGACTCTCTCACCCATGCCCACCCCTTGCTGACTCTCTCACCCACGTTCAACACCTGCTCTCACCTTGGCCAGGCGGCGTCGGGAGAAAGCCACGAGCCCTCACGCCCATACTATTGTGGTGGGGTGGAGTGTGGGGAAAGGTGGGACGGGAGGAAAGCGGGGGGGTGTGGCATGCTGCTGCGTGTGGCGGCATCTGATAGGATGGACAAGAGGGCTGTGTCAACACCGCCTAGTTGGAGAGGACGGGAATTGGGATGGGTGGTTGGGGTGGATGGACGGGTAATTTGGGATGGTTGGAACTGGGAAACTGATAGGATGGATGTAAGGGCTGCGCTGAGTCGAGACCGCCTTGGGATAGGTGGGCCCCAAGCTGCTGTCCCCCGCACTACACTACCTTTCCCCCCTCACCTGCCCACTCACCTCCTCCACGTTAGGCGCCAGCACCACAAACTTGGCCCTTCGGCTGCGCACCGCCTGCCCCTGCCAGCCCTGCCAGCACCCGCCGCCGCATCGCTCCCTGTGCGTGGGTAGCTAAGTGGGAGTGGGGTGGGGGAAGGGAGAAGAAAATTTCTCTTTCAGCCCTGCACTGCCTCCCCCACCTCCTTCAGCCCTGCCAGCACACGCCGCCGCATGGCACCGTGCGCATGGGCGGTTAAAGTGGGAGGGGGGCGGGGCTGGGGAGAGGATTGACCTCCTTCAGTGATGCTAGCACGTCGCTCCCTGCTCCCATGCGCAGGGGGTTAAGCAGAGAGGTGTGGGACGTGGAATGCGGAGGGGAGGGTTGGGGGGGGGGGAGGGATGTGAAGGGGAAAGGCGGGACCTTCTTCTCCTGCCCCACCTCCTTCAGCCATGCCAGCACAACGCCCCTCACTCACACCTCGTACCTCGCACCTCACACCTCGTACCTCGCACCTCGCACCTCGCACTTCGCATCTCACATCTCGCACCCAGCTCCCATGAGAGCATTGAGACGCCATAAAAGCCTCCAGGCTGCAGCACTGGCAAATGCTGAAGCGACGGGAGGCGGGACGTGGACAGGGGAGGCGGGACGTTGCACGTCCCTGTGCTGCTCTACCCGTGGTTGGCGGAAGTGATTGCAAGAGGTGTGGCAAGGCCAGCAGGTGACTGCAAGGGGTGTGGCAAGGCCAGCAGGTGACTGCAAGTGGTGTGGCAAGGCCAGGAGGTGAGTGCATATGGGGTGCTGAGACAGGGATCAAATCGAAGGGGTCCTTCTGAAACGCCCTGACTTGGATGCACAGCATGCTGAATGTCTCCTGTCTTCCAAACCATCCAAAAACGATTCCATTGCCGGGACTTGAACCCGGGTCTCTCGGGTGAGAGCCGAGTATCCTAACCAACTAGACTACAACGGATGAGTATAGATACAAGCAATGTAGTTCAATCAGCTCCGGATTACCCTCTTTCCTCTCCTCTTATCACCTTCCTCATTCCCTTCTCACCCATTTCTACCACCCACACGCTCCACTCCCCCACCAGCAGGGCAGTGCTGAAGACGTCGGCATTGGATAAGCCACTCAGGGGACTGCCATGTCAATCAAGCCACAAACTGACTGTAGTTGTCTCGGTTTGACTCATGGTTCTCCTCCACCATCTCCCCCCCTCTTGCTTGCTCCACTACCCCACCATCTCTCCCTCTTGTGCTCACGGCACCGCCTACCATCTCCCCCTCACCAGGAATTTGTTGCGGAATGATTGTTCAATGGAGAAGTCACTGAAAGAACTGTCGAGAGGAGAAATGGTGATGTCACGCTGAGACAAGAGGAGTGAAGTGGAAGAGAAAGATTGGAACAGCAGACATGAGGCACAGGGGCTAGTAGGGCGTTCAGGTGCAGCAAACCACCCACATACCCCCCTACAACTCACCCAATAGCTCAACACATAGCCACCTGGTAGTCCCCTGTTCATAAGCTCCTGGTGATTTCCTGGAAGCCACCTGGTAATTTCCTGGAAACCACCTAGTGGAAATGCACACACCGCCCCCACAGCTTACCTGGTAAAAGGCATGGAAGAAGAGGATGGGCGCATGAAGGCAGAAACCTGCAGGGTGGTGGTGACGGAAGATGGTGATGGGCATGAGTGAAGGGGAATATGTAAAGGGACATGTGTGAAACGATATGGGTGAATGGGCATGTGTGAAGGGATATGGGTGAATGGGCATGTGTGAAGCGACATGGGTGAATGGGCATGTGTGAAGCGACATGGGAGAGGGGGATGTGGAGGGAGAGGGGGATGCGGAGGGAGAGGGGGATGCGGAGGGAGAGGGGGATGCGGAGGGAGAGGGGGATGCGGAGGGAGAGGGGGATGCGGAGGGAGAGGGGGATGCGGAGGGAGAGGGGGATGCGGAGGGAGAGGGGGATGCAGAGGGAGAGGGGGATGCGGAGGGAGAGGGGGACGCGGAGGGAGAGGGGGATGCGTAGGGAGAGGGGGATGCGGAGGGAGAGGGGGATGCGGAGGGAGAGGGGGATGCGGAGGGAGAGGGGGATGGGGAGGGAGATGGGGATGCAGAGGGAGAGGGGTATGCGGAGGGAGAGGGGGATGCAGGGGATGCGCCGCCTCACAGCTCCCTGCTCCCATGCGTCGTTCACCCTGAGGTCCCCGCCTCCCCATCCCCCCTCTCCTCCTCCCCCATCCACCCCTCCCCCATCTCCCCCTCTCCCCGGACTCGCACTGCCGCCCACGCTCGCGCGCCTGTGTCGCCAGCACCACCATGCGTTTCAAGCGGCTCGCTCGCTTCCAATTCGGTGTCTGCCTCTCCTTCCCCCGCCTCACACCAATTCTCTCCAAAGTTGCTGCCTTCACCCACCCCTCCACAGCGCGTCTCCACGCACCCTCTCGCGCGCACGCCCTCCTACACCTTTCCCCCTTTTTCCCCCCTTTCCCGCCTGTCCCCACCTGTCCCCACCCCTCCACCTGCGCCTTCTCCCCTCGTCCGCCCTCCTGCCCCCCATTCTCCCACCCCTCGCATCATTTCCGCCGAACCCAAACCACACGAGCTAGTATCCACCTATTCCCATCCCCTCCCTGCGACTCCCCTCCCCGTTCCGCCTCCCCTTCCCCCTCCGCGGGGCCGCCCGTCATTTCTGGGCCCATCGACGCTCAAACCGATTTCCGCGGGCTCTCGCGGAGGCGGCGGTAGAGGCGCGCGTGTAGCGGGAATGGCGGCGGTAGCGGCGGGGGCGGTGTCGGTGGCGACGGCGAGGAAGTGGTCCAGGGGGAGCGCAACTGGCGCGGACTTCCACCGCCTCTTCGCGCAAGTGCCGGCGCCGCCGCTGTGGTGCTCACAGCGACGGTGCTGTTTCCGCCACTGCAGCCGCCGGAAGCCTCGCCTGCGCGCCCGTGCTTCCCCTATCCGCCATTGCCGCTGATCCTCGCGCCTCTGATGTAGCGGTTCTTTTTGCTCTTGTCATCTAGTGTCGCTATGTCTGTCCCCGTTTCGTTGTTTACTGTCGTTCAGTCTGTCGAATTTTCGTCGCCGTCCGTTGCGCTCTCGTCACCCTATCTGTCGCTTCGAAGCGATCTCTACCTAGCCACGGGTCTTCCTGTCCTGTGACTCCAGCCTACTAGGCTAGTAGCCAGCGGACCGCGAATGGTGGCCCGACGCAATTTGGGCTGACACAAAGAAGTGATTCGTTATGAATGGAGATGTTTCAAGAATGTACTGAAATGTATTCAAAATTGAAAGCTGAAGAGCGCTACTGAATGCCCATCTCCGTTCAAAACAAGATTATACAGGGAGAGTCGATCTAGGCAAGAACCTCGGGGTAGATAGGTTCTGAAGTGCGGCGAAAGGTATGGTGGCGACTCGGAAGTGGTTCGGTCAGGGCGAACTTCTAGGCCGAACCAGTTGACGTGACTCTCTCTAAAGTAATCCTTTCAGAAGCAGATTATACTATCTTATAGATAGCGTGATGAGCCAAGTTCTATGTAGAATCATACGATAAAAACAATGAATCTCTCTACAAGCGCTACAAGGACAATTGTCAAATTCAACTGTCGCGAGAAACGATTCAAGCGCTACAACGCATACGAACGAATATAGCTAGTGCAGTACATCTACGTAATGTACTAATACTGGTAAAAGTACGTTTCTTTACATTTTGTGAAGGGGCACAAACCGTAACACAAACAACCCAAGCTGCCTGCCTTGTTGGAAATTCTCCCTTGTGGCAGGACTCCTTATTTGACTACAGCCTGGCTTCCTAGAGGGAGGAGTGGGTGTGACATGGTGGTGGGAGTGAGACGGTAGTGGGAGTGAGATGGTAGTGGGAGTGAGATGGTAGTGGGAGTGAGATGGTAGTGGGAGCAAGTTGGTAGTGGGAGTGAAATGGTAGTGGGAGTGAGATGGTAGTGGGAGTGAGACGGTAGTGGGAGTGAGATGGTGGTGGGAGAGTGGCGGAGAGTGAGATGAGATGGCGGTGAGAGTGAGATGGTGGGGGAAGAATGGGGTGGCGAATGGGGAGAGTTCTCTGCACGGCAGTACCTACCAACTGGTTGGACTGATGCTTGCACCCCGACATCAAGTTACGGTCCAAAGCGACCGTCAATCTCCACTTCCATGTGACTCAACAAACCCCTATGCCTCGGCAAGCGCACCATCAACACTACATTGCACCGCATCACAGAGCATTGAGCCCCTGCAGTCGTTATTTGAGACACGTGAAGCACCAAGCCCGGATTACTCTCTATTCGGCCCATGCATTAACGTACCATCTCCAAACCATCTTATTAAGATGCACGAGGTGAGATGCACGAGGTGAGATGCACGAAGCAAGAGGCACGAGGTGAGCAAAAGGTGGGGGTGAGGCCAATGCAAGCATGCTCCGCGTGCTCCTCCTGCTACAAATCTTTCTCTTGCACCTCCTGCCATAACTGCCTCTGCCAAAACGGTCCTGGCCCCTCCTGAGCATCCATCTGCTTGCTCCCTGCCCCTCCTGCCCCTCCCACCAATCCCCCCCGCCTGCGCTACCTCTGCCAGCTCACTCTTCAGCAATCTGTGTGCCCCATTGAAGTGTGGGCGAGTTCGGTACACACACAGCTCTCACGCACCAACAGCCTCCTGCCCCTCCTGCCCCTCCTGCCCCTCCTGCCCCTCCTGCCCCTCCTGCCCGTCCTGCCCCTCCTGCCCATCCTGCCCGTCCTGCCCCTCCTGCCCATCCTGCCCGTCCTGTCCCTCCTTCACCTCCCACCATAACTCCCTTCCCTGCCGTGCCTCTACCAAAACACTCTTGAGCAGTGTGTCTAACATGGCCAACGGCACTCACACAACAGCACGGGCGGTTTAGTGTTTGGCAGGGAAGGAGGAGACGGGAGAATGATGAGGGGAATGGTGGGTGCGTTGAATAAGTAACCCGACGTAGGCATGCGCAGGGTACCGAACCGAACCAGTTGGTTTTTATGCCCTTTCAATCCAAACCGGTTGGCTACCAAACCGAACCTGTTCTGGGACGAACTGGTTTTGCATGGAGCTGGTTCGTGGTCCGTTAAATAGCCAACCGGTTTGCCTCAACCGGCCCAGTTCGGTTCACTTTTCCAGTGAACTTTCACTTGGTCCTACCAGCAGAGACGCAAAAAAGAACCACGGGAAACACACTAACGTTAGGTGGAAGGGGAATATTGTGAGACTGTGTGAGAGTTGAAGCTCGAAATGAGCTCAAACGCCCTGGATTTTGGGTTATACTCAAACCGGGACAACCTGTGTCATGCACACCCCTTGCGACGATTGTGGGAATTCTCAAGGAAATGGTGGATGCCTGCAGTAAGTAACCCCCCATTCCACAGTAAGTAACCCCTCTTGACATGCAGTCACCTTGGCCAGGCGGCGGTTGGAGAGAGGCAAGGGCGCAGGATTGGTGTGCACACTAACCCTTACACATGTACTTTCGGAACGTAAGAAACAGCCACCTCAATGTGTGCTATCTGTTAGCTAGCAGCAACACCCCACCCCGCCTTTACCTAGGGTCACCTCAGCCTGCACTCCCTTTACCAGGAACGATCCACAAGCATGGGGTTGCTGCACGCATGCGCTCCCCCCATTGCCCGCCTCAACGGGTGCTAGCTGACATGCACGCATCGCTGGGAGAGTTACCGGATAGGATTACCTTTTACACACCCCCATTCCTCACGTCAAAATGTGCTACCTTAGCACCACATCCCACCACACTCAACACCTGCAGCCACCTTGGCCAGGCGGCACTGGGAGAAAGCCACAGCCACAGGAACATGCCCTCATGCATGCCCTCCCACCAGCCCTCACCTTACCGTGTGATAGCACCACACGGTCCATACCCCACCCCACCACATTCAACAGCTGCGCTCACCTTGGCCAGGCGGCGCCTGGAAAGAGCCATGAGAATGGGAATGCAGTGTGCACCCGCCACTTTCCCCTCCTCGCATTGTCCGCCTCACCTTGGCCAGGCGGTGCCTGGTCTGGAGAGAGCCACCCACCACGGGAGTGCCGCGTGCCTTACCTTTCTGAAAACGCTCCCCCCTGTCTTGGCTGTCTACCTGCCCATGTGCTACGTGATAGAACCACACTTCACCACATTCAACACCTGTGCTCACCTTGGCGAGGCGTCGTCGGGAGAGGGCCACGACCACACTTGTGTCTCCCACCCATCACCACACTTGTCTCTCCCACCCATCACCACACTTGTCTCTCCCACCCATCACCACACTTGTCTCTCCCACCCATCACCACACTTGTCTATCCCACCCATCACCACACTTGTCTCTCCCACCCAGCACCACACTTGTCTCTCCCACCCAGCACCACACTTGTCTATCCCACCCATCACCACACTTGCATCTCCCACTTATCACCACACTTGTGTCTCCCACCCATCACCACACTTGTCTCTCCCACCCAGCACCACACTTGTCTATCCCACCCATCACCACACTTGTCTCTCCCACCCATCACCACACTTGTCTCTCCCACCCATCACCACACTTGTCTCTCCCACCCATCACCATACTTGCCTCTCCCACCCAGCACCACGAACTTGTTTTTCTGAAATGCCAGCGCTCACCCGCCAGCGCGTTGAGTTGAGCTCGGGTGTGACCACCTGGTGGGCGTACCTACCTGGGGGATGGAAAGGGGAAAGGGCAGGCAGGGGGAAGAGAGGGGGGCAGAGGGGGAAGGGGGTTGGACGAGCAACGGAATCGCAACAGCTCCGTCAGCAGTGCAAGTAACAGCGAGTTTAGCTCAGCGGGAAGAAGAAGGGGACGGTGGGGATGAAGGGAAGGAGGGGATGGAGGGAGCAGGGGCTAAGCGGATGGAGCGGACGGAGGGGACAGCGAGGACCAGCAGTGCACAGGTGGTGGGCTGCGGAGGCCTAATTTCAAAATGGTGGGCTGCGGAGCGCATTGAGCTCGGGGCTGACCACCTACTGGGTGTACCTGGGAAGGGGGAGGTAGGGAAACAGAAAGGGGAAAATGGAGGGAGGCGGGGCAAGAACGGGAGGGAAGAGTAGGATATGCAGCAGCAGCCCTGCCAGCAGCACGGCCACCCACCAGTGCGTTGACCTCGGGTGCTTGCCTCAGCACCAGTACATGTTGCTGCTTGAGCTTACCTTTGTTCTGCACACTGTGTGCTCTTTATTCTCAAAAGCTCCTCGCCCAGCCTCAGCGACTGCAAGCCTCCATGCCAATGTATGTGGTAGGCTGGGTGTTCCCTCTCACCAGGCTGCCTTCTTGCCCTCTCTTCTCCTCTCTTCTCCTCTCCTCTCTTCTCACCTCCCCTCCCTTCCTCCCTTCCCTTCTCTCCTACCATCCCTTCTCTCCTCCCCTCCCTTCTCTCCTCCCCTCCCTTCTCTCCTCCCCTCCCTTCTCTCCTCCCCTCCCTTCTCCCCTCCCCTCCCTTCTCTCCTCCCCTCCCTTCTCTCCTCCCCTCCCTTCTCTCCTTCCTTCCCTTCTCTCCTCCGCTCCCTTCTCTCCTCCCCTCCCTTCTCTCTTCCCGTCCCTCCACTCCTCCCTCCCTTCCTTCCTCCCTTCCCTTCTCTCCTGTCCTCCCTTCACGCCTCCCTTCCCTTCTCTCTTCCCCTCCCTTCTTTCTTCCCGTCCCCCCACTCCTCCCTCCCTGCTCTTCTCCACTCACATCCCCTCTCTCTCCCTTTCCCCCGCTCTTCCCCTTCCCTCTCTCCCGCCCTTCCCCACTCCTCTGCCTGTCCCTCTCCCCTCCTCCCCTCCCCCATCCTCCTCCGCCTCCTGCCCCACCTTCTCCCAACCCTCGTCTCGTTTCCGCCAAACCCAAGCCACGCGCGCTTGCGCCCTCACTTCCACCTCCCCTTCCTGCGCCTTCCCTCCCCACTCCGCCTCCCCTTCCCCCTCCGTGCGGCCGTCCGTCGCTGGTGCCCCC